AGTAGGTATCAATTATGACTAGCAGGGCTACATATTTCTTACTCCTAGGCATATCAGTAAAGTCAACAATGACATAGTCCATTGGGAAATAAGCGATTGGTTGTTGACCAGGTGGTACTATTGGTCCTTGGCGAGCATTGGTTTGAGCACAAATGGAACATTGAGAACATACTTGTGCTATCAGTGAAGAAGCAAAAGGAAGATAGAAAAATCTTTCAAGTTACTGTAATAATGCAGTTTTCCCCAAATGATGATGTTTATGAGCCTGAAAAATAAGTGGGTGGGCAAGTGCAAGAGGAATAGCAATGCGTCCATCTGGAAGGGTGTACCAGCCTTTAATTAGTTCAGCTTGTACATCCTGCTTTAACTTTTGTGGATCAAGTTTTTCCAAGTAAGTGTCTAAATACATGAGCCTGGTGACATCTGACTGTAGGGGGGGGGCTTCTAAATCTGCTCTTTTGGCTTCTTTGTCTGCCTTCCTATTCCCCTGTGTAATAAGGCTTGAGTCTTTTAGATGTCCAGGACAATGGATGATTGCAACTTTAGATGGTAATTGAGCTGCCTTAATAACTCTTTTAATCAAGGTGGCATATTGGATGATCTTGCCTGTGGAGTCCAAATAACCCCTTTCTTTGTAGATGGCTGCATGTGCGTGGATTGTTAAAAATGCATATTTGCTGTCTGTATATACATTTAAAATCTTTCCTGCAGCTATTTCCAATGCTCGTGTTAGAGCATTCAATTCTGCAAATTGTGCACTTGCTTGGCTGGGTAGTTGTGCTGACTCTACAATTGCAGTTTGAGAAACAATTGCATACCCACTGTATCTAATGCCTTGATCCATATAGCTAGATCCATCAGTGAACCACGTAAAGTATGGATTTTGGTATGGTTGGTCAGTAAGGTCAGGTCTGCAAGAATATTGTAGTTCTAGTGTTTGCATGTAGTTGTGTACAGGCAAAGTTGAATCTGGTATTGGCATAAAAGTTGCTGGATTGAGAGTAGTGCATTGTTTCAGTGTAATTTGTGGATTTTCTAATAAAAGAGCTTGTATCTTATGCATTCGTTGATTGCTAATCCATAAATGTCCCTTATTATCAATAATTGTCTGCAGGGCATGACTAGTGCAAACAACCACTGGAGCAGAAAAGGTTAACTTATTTGCTGCCTGTAGTAAAAGCATGACTGCTGCTAGGATTTTTAAACATTGTGGCCACCCTTGTGCTGCTGTATCTAATTGCTTTGACAGATAAGCGACTGGGCGATTCCAAATTCCTTGCTTTTGGGTAAGGACTCCAAGAGCCACATTCTGTCTCACATCGACATAAAGTGAAAAAGTCTTAGTTATATCAGGTAGTCCTAAGGCTGAAGCTGTAGTTAAGGCTTGTTGAAGTGTTTTCATAGCTAGGTTTTGTTCCCGTTGCCATAAAAGAGGTTCCTTTTCTGGCCCTTTTAACACTTGGTACAATGGTTTAGCTGTGAGAGCAAAATTAGGAATCCAAATCCTACAGAAGCCTGTAATTCCCAAAAAGGCTCTAACTTCCTGTTTTGTTTGGGGGATGGGTATCTGTAACACAGCTTGCTTTCTCTGGGGTCCTAGAGCCCTCTGTCCTTGGGATAGTTCATAGCCTAAATACATTACAGTCTTTTGGACTAGTTGTGCTTTCTTTTTGGATGCTCTGTAGCCACAGTCTTGTAATATTTGAAGCAGTCCTGTTGTGTTTTCAAAACAATCCTCCCTGTTCTGTCCAGTTATTAGAACATCATCCACATATTGAAGACAACAATCCTCTTGTCTGACTAACTTTAAAAATGCAAGATCTTGGGCTAAAGCTTGACCAAAACATGTGGGTGAATTTTTAAAGCCTTGTGGTAGTCTAGTCCAGGTATATTGAGTCCTAACTTGTGTCTTA